TATTACCGTGAATATTATTTTGGTAAGGGATTTATTCCCAACATATACCCTCTTTCATTAAGTTTGTCCAAGGTAAATATCTAATCCACGTGGCACTGACATTTGATGAGGTGGTGCCACGTGACATGACACCTCATCGCCCCTAACCCATTTTACCCCTCCCTTCTTTTTTTTTTCCACCACTAAAATTTTCTTTCCCTCCACCATCATTGTCACCATTAATGCCACCATGAACAATTTATCTCGATGTGCATTATGTACCATAAACATGGAACCAATCTTACTATGACTATATAATCCCTCTTGTAATTTGTACCCTAATTTAGCTCTCACACCATGAGGCACTTTTACCTCATCAAATGTTTCTTGGGAAAAAATAAGCTTCAACTGTTTTCTCCACTTCAGTACTTTTTATCACTGATTTGTCTCTTTATTGTGAATCTCGTATTGTTAGCTTTGAGCTTTCAAAGATGACTTACTTGTTTGTCGCTTCTCTGTATTAATCTCCACGTTCCTGCTTTGCGCTTTTCAGCCTGCTATTTAGGAACATCTTTAAACTCTTGATGATTCGTTTGTTTTGTGTTCTAAACTTGGTGGAAAAAAAAGGGAGGGGTAAAATGCATTAAAGGGGCTGAGGTGGCATGTCACGTGGCATTCTTCTCATCAAATATCAGTATCACGTGGATTGGATCTTCACTTTGGACAAACTTAACAGAAGAGGGATATATTTTTAACGATAGGGGATATATTTAGACGAAAAGTATAACGAAAGATATATTTAAATATTTTCTCATAGTACTGGGTATATTGTAAATCCAAAATTTTGCTTTGCTTTCAATGCGTGCATGTGAGTTTTGAGACAGTAGTGGCTATCTTTGCATCTTTTGGACGGATCTAAGCATTCAACTTTACCTGCCTCACTGTATCTAAGGGGTCGTTTGGTAGGGTGCATAACAATAACGATGAATATGATGTATTAGTAATGCTGGTATTAGTTATACTTGCATTAATTATGCTGGTATTAGTTATGCTGACATATTTCTTATTCATTATTTGGTTTGATGTATTAAAGCATTGCACAATTTTTAAAAAAATTGCTTGTTTACAAAAATACCCTCAAAACTAGTCCATCACTCAAACTTTTTAAAAGAAACATATGTTGAGAAATATTTTTATATGAAAAAGTTTTAAAAAATTATTTAATTTGTCTGCCTATATTGTAAAATAGAACTAAATATTTATTTACAAAAGAGGAAATATGCTAAGTATTTATTTATTTACTAGAGATATAATTTTGTTTCTCACTATTTGAATTATTTTAAACTTGCATTAATATAATAACTAGCATATTTTAATCAAGCATAAATTTTGAAGGACAATTTTGTCTTTAACTAAGCTAATACATGCATTAAAAC